AGAAAGGACAAACTTGAACAGATGTTCATTTGTCATTTGATTAATTTTCATTCTGTTCCCCCATTGTGACAGGGAAATCCCTTATGAATTATTTTAAACTGTTTTGTGCTATCTTTTCTCCCAAAAGTGTTTTGTATATTGAAAACTCAAAACCCACCTAAAATCTTTACTGTGGATACCTCTATTACCCTTAGTAAGCCTTTACATGTGACAAAATGCTTAGAATTATTACTTTGTTAGTGCTAAGGTGTATTACAAATTTTCCTGGAAATTCTTGAAGTGTTTGGAAGCTTGAGTCCTTATATTAAGCTATATTTAAGCAAATATCTTCTAATGCACCTTAAAAAGTAATTATGGTTTTGCCTAAAATATGGGCTAAACTGAAATCTTGTTTTAAGTATAGCATGTTAATTGTACATCAGCAAGAACTAAGAAAACTACACTTTTTCCTAGAGTAATCAAATTATAAGACAAAACAAATCTGAATTACATAAGAGAAATACTTCCTAAATTCTGGGGTTTAAAATGTTGCAATTGTTGTGGTAGCTATGGAGTTTGCAAGGGGCACAGGATTGAACCGAAGCAATTGTAACCCTTGCCAGCCTGAGGGTGCCATTTTCTCTGAATGGATTGATCCAGAAGCCCCCTGCACTTGCTGGGAAGTTGTAAGCCTCTGACAGACACACAGACAACTTTTCCAACATGCTCTTGTGTTTTATGCAGATCAGCCAAAACAAGAATGTCTGAAAGAGTTTTACAAAGGGGATGTAAAGCTTGGGATAAACAGAAAATTGAAAATAATCTCAAAAAATTGAACTTGATCTGGCTTCTTTGAAGTTAAAGTGATTAGAATGGAGCAGAGTGAGATTTATAGACTTCACAGGCTTATGGGAGGGACTTCAAAAGCATAGAGGTGACAGAGGAAAATATTTTTTCAGCCGTGCAGTGACAAAAATGCAACATGGTGTCAGGGTTCTTGCAACAACAGGAAGAATAGGAAAACAAAAGGTTCTAATTTTAGTCTCTGCCAGTCATCCATGTGTCAGTCTGGTTGTCTTCTACTCAGGATACTCACCTCAAATGCACTTTCAGCAGAGCACACAGCTGATAAATGTGATAAAATCGCAGTAAATACACAGGACAGAGAAACAGGAACCACCAGGACCATTTTTAAACTTAAGCTTTGAAAACTGGTCGAACACACAACATGCACAGTTCAAAACTAGGATGTGAACAGGGATTTCCCATGACCAGTACCACAACCTATGTCACTCTTCCCTTCACACAGGTTTCTGAGAGTGGCCTGTTACAACCATCCCTCTGTGTGCAAAATGCTTAAATACTAGGAGCAGTAAGGCACTGTTAACTTCTTGTTTGGGACAATCTGCCATGGGGAAGACATCTAGGTTCTATGGCTAAAATCTCCACAAAGTGGGAAAATAAACCCATCATCAATTTAATCTCACTTCTGTGCAGCAGGGGAGGAAACATCATGGACACTGGTAAGTCTAGTGCCTCTTCCCAAGAAAATATTTCCAGATGAACTGTTCAACATAGAGCTCATTAATCAATTAGAACTGATCACAACTGTGTTTTAGTGAATACCTCATCTACCATTTACTGTCCCTACTACTGCACATTTCACTGCTGATCTTACCTGAACATACCTTTTAACTGCATTAAAAAATTAAACTCTCAGAGGAACTGTTTTTTCCAGCTCCCCTAAATGGTGGCACACTCTTCACAGTAAGAATATGGTAAGAAATGGTTTACAGACTTAAATTGTGCATATGAACAAAGTTATTCAACATGCATGAGTTTTTCCAGTGTGACCGGAGCATCCTAATGCTGCAGTGATCTCCATATGACAGTTCTGTCTAATATAAAAGGATCCAAGTTTGCAGACTTTGTGAACAACATTCTGTTTCTGCATGCTTGACACTTGCTCAAGCAGCCTTAGCCTTGATCAACTCTGCATGCTCCTCCAATCCAATTAATAAAATATAGAGCGCTGCTTTCTGGGCTACACCAGATTTTGAAGATTTTTAAATAGTTTATGGATAAACACACAAGTTGCTACACAAACATTTATTTTAAAAATAGTTTTATTATAAATATGCATTAAACCAGTTACTTTTACAATGTATTTCACTCGCTTTGCTGGTTCCTAAAATTAACATTTCAATGACATTCTAGGGGAATTCTTTCTCTAGAAGGAGGGCATGTCCTTAATTTATGGATTCTGCAGGAAAATGGAAGGCACAAGTACAGTTGTATTTTAGTCACTGGAAATGCAGAATTGACCCTATGACATCAGAGTATTTTCAGACACATGTTCCCTATCCACACATGCCCAGATCTCTTCCTTCCCTGCTTCAGCCCTCTTCCCTTACTTACCTATGACAACCGTGTTCCCACCTCTTTCAAATAAGGCACATTCAGCTTACAACCAGGAAAGTTAATCTCCACAAGACTCCACATGCAACCCTCCTAATTTATTCTGTACATTTTAAAATTTATTTCTCGGGCAATTATATTACACAAAGGTCTCTTATGAAAATTAGCGAGAGCAAAATCAATAGGTTTCTAGAGCAATTATTTAAAACTTATTCTACCAGTTTACATAGCTTTAGGACAGGTTCCTCATGTGCAATTCAATGTCCTAATTTAAAAAAAAACAAAATCATAATCATAAAACTAAATACTGATGCTCTCCAGTCTGCTCTAAAAAGCTTTACAGCATTTTAAAAAGCACATAAATGATTTGACCACAATGACAAAGGTAGTGGCCGAAGAGGGCTTAAGGTAAAAAGCTGATGTAGAAACAGATTATTCCAGTTCTATCAAGTGACATCCTTCTTTTGATGAATCATAATGTTAGACTAATGTTAAAATTTCAACTTAGAGTTACTATATAAATTTTGTGTTCAGCTGTCCATGCAAACAACCAAGATGATTCTTCTAAACTGTTTAATCTAAATAGTATTTGTTTCCTGTCTTGACACTACCTGAAAACAAGAGAAATATTCTACAACAACAGGCAGCACTCTCAAATAATTAATGTAAGAAATTTTAATGCCTGTCTAATCCTACTAATGACAAAGAAAAACCATCAGGAGTATTTCCTTTTAATTAAACCACACTAATTAGTTTCCAACAAACCTTCAGGAATCAAAACAGATCTTAAATTGAGTGACTTCGTACTGCCATAAACCCTCGCCCTTTTTGCACAGCCACGTCCCCTTGGCGCCCGGAGCAGGCACGGCAGGCTGCAGTCCCTGTGTCCCTGTGTCCCCCTTGTCCCTGTGTCCCTGTGTCCCTGCAGCCTGCGCTACGGCACCGCGCAGAGACACGCGAGCAGAGGCAGGAGCAAGGAATGGCCAGGGGAGAAGGCCAACGCAGGCCATGCAGTCGGTACAATGTTGAGAAATCTTTGTTTACACTTCTAGTTACACAGGTAAGGGAGTTCAGAATTATGGGGTTTTTTTAATAGACTTGTGAAAAATGCCAATCACTTGTTTTTAAAATTTTAAAAGTTTAATAGATAGAAAATGGTTATAAAAATAGTAATACAATTAGAGAAATAATAATTTGGACAATTTAAATTAGGACAATATGAGACAATAGGAGACAAAGAGTTATGGACGTCCGGGTACCTTTTTCTGGGCAGCACAAGCCTGAAAAAGGACGCTCGTTAACAAAGGATTAACCCTTAAAATCAATAGCCTGTTGCATATTCATACACTACATACATGATGTATAAATTCCATTCAAACACAGGATTCCGTCTGGTCATCGTCAGCTTCTTCCTCTGAATCCTAACAGCGCCTTCAAGGCGGGAAGAAGTTAATTTCTTCTGATAAGAGGGCAGTAAATTCTCTTTCTCTGAACGGTTTAGGTGTCCTGTGGCTGCTATCTCGTTGCAAGTCCTTTCTTTAAAAAAAGTATCCTACAAAGCATAGTCTCCATTTTAACATTTTTATAACTTAAAACTATATTTAACACACTACTTAAGAGAATTAATACAGCATTACTTTCTAACACAACACATAAAATATTCATTTTAATATTTGTGAAAAGCCCATCATAAAATACGCATTTTTCACAGACTCTTATTTTTTACTTTTCAGAAAGAACCTTTAGCAGCTCTACTTTTAGTTAACTACTGTTTGTTCCACCAGCAGCGTATAATTAGAAATAAAACAAACATCAAGCTCAGTTCTTGTCTTTGTCATCAGTTTGGGAACAGTGTGGCCACTTACAGCTTATCCTCACCAATACATATATATGTATGTAAAATGTGGTCTGTGCCAACCTGCCCGGGATGTGCGTGATGATCCCAAGGACCGGAGCTCCCTCGGCCTACAGCTCCTTTTAGCCTACAGAACCCCACAGACAGCCCGAGCTTTGGGAATGGGAATAACCCGGCCCGGCCAGAGGGAAGGGTGGGCACGCGGGAAGTGCTGCTGAGGATCGGTTTTGGGGAGAGGTGCCATTTTTCTAATTCAGCTCGAGGGGAAATCAAGCGGTGGCAGGCGGCGAGCTGGTGTGACAGCGCGGCTGCGGCACTGCCGGCTGAGGGGGAGCCGCGCCGGGATGAGCGCGGCGCGCCGCCACCCGCCGTCGACAGCCCAGGGGCGGGCCGGGCCGGGCCCACCGCAGGGCCAGCGGCAGCGGCCCGGCCCCTGCCGGTGCGGGGCGGAGACCGCGGGGTGCGACGGCAGCAGCCGCCATGTTCGATGCGGGCAGGCCGGGGGCGCCATGTCTGTTAAGGGCGGCTGCGGCGAAAGGTCCCTGGGCCTGCGCCCGTCCCGCACCGCCGCGGGCACCCGCACGGGAGCGCGCCCAGGGCGGACGCGACTCCCTGCAAGGACGGGGCGCTCCAGGTGCGGTCGGACCCTGCACTCCGCGGGAACGCCGGGGGCGGGCGGGAGAGCGGCGCGGGCCGAGGGTACCCTGTGCTGGGTAAGGGAAGAGCGTAGCTGCTGGCTGAAATAAAAACCTGAACGGCCTCGCTTACGGGAAGATGTGCCCCACAGCGGCCCCGGCTGGGATTTCTCTGCTCCCCGCCTGCTGCCGTCTCGGCCGGCCTCACCTGGGGCAGCCGGAGTGCGAGGGACCGGAGGAATGCGGGAGGCTCTGTCGGAGGGGTTTGCTTGTATGATGAAAGGCTGCCTCCAAAAATAGCCGTCCCTGAGAAACTTTTCACGAGGGGAGATTTCTCTGGGAGGTGCCCCAGATTTCAGTGAGAGATGAGTTAGCTGCTGCTTCTTTGCCTTTTTCTGGAAGCAAAACCGGTTATTTGCATCACCAAAGATGTATAGCAGCTAGCAACAATGGCTTTTGCTCGCAGGAGGCCATGAGCAGTAACAAGACGGTGCTGGCTGCCAGGTGTGAATGAAAACCATGTTTTCCTGCTCGAAGTTCAAAGTATAGCAAGAGGTCAGAGGTCTGGGATCCAGGTGGTTGAGCTGGGTAAGCCTTTAACTTGGGTCAGGTCAGTTGCCTTTCTTTATTGCTGGTGATATTACTCTACTCTGACAACAGGCTACCCATCTAAAACAAAGAGCAGTTGGCAGGTTCAAGGGTTACTCAAATGCTTATCCCCATGTAATTTATTATTACCAGACAGAATTCATACTAAACAACCTGATTGTAGAGTAACTTAGCCTGAAAGGGGCCCTTGCTGTGCCACTTGACCCAGACCCTTCCTCAGAGCAGGGTTGGCCTCAAGAGTTGCACCAAGCCTCGTGGGGCCTCAGGAGCTCCTCCATGCGAGTACTTGGCTTCCCAGAAGGTAAAATTGTAGCAAACTACCCATATGTGTTACCTAACCTGCAGCCGTTCTCCTTGTAGAAGGAACCACATGCAAAAGAGTTCTCCTTCCCATCTACTGACCTGTGTGCGCAGCTGAAAGCCAGAGGAGGAGCTTGGCAGGATGAAGCCGGTCATCGTGGTGCACGGTGGAGCTGGCCGGATCTTCAGAGAGCGAGAGGAGGGGTGCCGGGCTGGGGTTGTCAGGGCTGCGCTGCGAGGTTACGCTCTCCTGAAGCAGGGAGGCACTGCCGTAGATGCAGTTGAGGAGGCAGTACGGTCAATGGAAGATGATCCTCATTTTAATGCAGGTAATTTTTCTAAGGATTAAGTGGACTTAGAATCATATTATATTTCAAGTGTTTTGCCCTGATGCTTCTGAAAATCCTAGCTTGTATTATTACTGTTGCATTATTATTGATTTATGTACATTGCAGTGGAGTAAATACTAGTGTCACAAAATAGGTGGTTTCTCAGCATGGTATGTAATGTAGTTTCTCTTAGTACACTTAGGAAGATGAGTTATGCTGTTGCCATTCCTTCAGTGTTATGTATCTGCCATTTAATTTGTGTGGGGCTGTTTTACATTTCTGTAAATCTTCTGTTACTGTGCTCTGTATATCCAGTTTTAAGACATGGACTCTTACAGAATATGTGTTAAGTTAATGTGTCTCTTTAAGGCTCTTGGATATACCTTGCAGCTTTGTTTAATCCTGAGTGCTTGATCTTTACCTATTGCCACAGAAATACTGGTGTTGGGGATTTTAGGTGGTTTTCTATTCATTAATGCTTGCAATTAGTTACTTTGTAAATAATACTAGAGAAGCAATGCAATAATGGTGTAAGAGTGGTAAATCTATACCTTCCTATAGTAAGGGTTTGTAACTGAATTTCTTAATCAGTAATGTGAATTAATGTTAGTGGTAGTAATCAAATATGTTCTCCTCTTCTTAGGACCTCAAGTTTATTATTTTTATGAATTTCAGCAAAAATATTTCCCCACTCCCGCCGTGATATGTCAGAAAAGAACATGGAATGAAATGTAGGTGCTCAGTATCTTAGGTAACACAGCTATTAGTTATGTGCTCAGTTAGTTTGCAGAGGTTCATTTGTTTCATCGCACCTTGCAGTCAAGAGCAGTTTTTATTTAATATGAAACTTTCATTGTTTTGTTATTGACTTTGGTTGAACATTTTGATTTTTAGAGCACTCATGCTGAAATTATGAAGAGGACTTGAAGGTACAGTGTGTGCTTTTAAATAGTTGGCATCAAAGTGGCATGCTGTCATTTAGCTTTTACTTAACGGGACTTGAGCCTTCGCCCATTGTTCAGGTAGTGGCATGTAGTCTGTTACAGAGATACCTAATTGTGTCAATGCTCATTAGGTACAGCTCCTCTCAGAATCTGGCAAAAATGAGCTGAAAGCTATGTGAAAAGGACCCTGATTGGAGTAGCTGTTTAAAACTCAGTGTGTAGTATTTATCTTGATAAAAGGATAAAATCAGTTTTGCTGTAATATTTTCTAGGCAAACAGACATTTCTGAGACACAACAATGAAGATGGGGAAGAATGGGCAGAACAATCAAGTTGTGTCCTTTCTTTGCATGATAGGATGTAGCCATGCTGTGTAGGGTTATCTTGATGTAGGCTTGGTGCAAGGGCTCAGAAGCTATACTGGTGTATAAAATTACCATTTTAGTGACTTGTGCACCTAATAAGTAAGCAAGTTCTACTTGTGGTGTGGTTATATTTCTGTGTGATCTCTTTGGCTTGCAGTATGAGCCAGCTTGGCATGAGTACTCCATGATCTATTGATCCTTGCACACTCTTTCCTATGCAGCCTTTCCAGGACAGAGGACAGATCTGTCTATCCAGAATTAGAGGGAGTTGGAGTACTCCTCTCAGTATCCCAGCTGTGATTGGGCTGATCTCAGACATGTTGATTTTTTTGTTTCCTCCTAGATTTTCTGTTTTCTGCCTCTTTCTGTTTCCCAACCCTTTGCTTAATAAGAAGCCAAAAACTTTTATTTTTTCAGCACTGCTGCCCATGGACGCCATGGCCTCAGAGGCTGGTAGTCCTTACCCATTGCTGTGGAAGGCAGGTGCAAAGGCAGCCTGTAACCACAGAAGGAAGGTTTCATGCTACCTGAGATCACTTGAGGTTCAGTAATTAGCTTTGCCCTGGTGCACAGACTTTCATGGTGACTAGTGGAATGAGAAGAGCTGGCTGTACAGCTCTCAAAGCTGGAGGAGTTGTGGATGCTCCATCCCTGCAAGCATTCAAGGCCAGGTTGGATCAGGCCCTGAGCAACCTGATGTACTGGGTGGCATCCCTGCCTGTGGAAAGGGATTGGAACCAGGTGATCTTCAAGGTTGTTTCCTGCCCAGGCCTTTCTGTGAGTCTATGGCAAGTGGGGTGGATTGTTCTTAGAAGGCACCCACCAGTCTCTCTTTGCCACGTTTAAAAGGAGACTTGTTTAGAAAGCTGCCTTTGATTACAGAAACTGCCTGCAATTGTTTTCTGCTCAGCAAATTTTAGAAAATCATAACATGTATCCTATGAGATATGTCCAGTAGACATGGGGCACTCTTAATGTGGTGATGAAGGGGCCTTGTTGAGTTTCCCCTGGAGCATGGTTCTGGTCACTGATGGTTGGGAAAGGGGTACCCTGGTTCTAGTGTGAATTTTGTGATCATGGGTTAGAAAGCCTACCCTGTCAAAGGATGTTAAAAGAGCATGGCAGGGTTTATCTGAGAAAACAATTCCTTACCAGCATAAGGAAAAGCTGGAAGAGTGATGTTCACGTGGGTGGCACAAGGCAATTAACCTGTAAGCTCTTTACAGATCAGTCTAGAAGTTAACATATTGTGAATGATGCAGGACTTAAATGTGGAATAATTGAATTAGCTGGAGACAGGTAAAAAATAACTTTTGGGGGTGTGTCTGTATGTGGCAGGGGCACTTTTGAGATTACAAGAGGAGGATTACAGGATTTAGCTGCCTTTTGTCACAGGGGATTTAATTTCGTATATTCTGGTCTGAAGTACTTTGGTATAAAAGTTTTATGTCAGTTATTAACAGTGGTTTCTGACTGCTTTAATGTTGGTGTAACAGAAGGTAGAAAAGCCCTACTGCATTAGTTATGTATAGTGCACAGGTCTTTTTACCTGAGGTACTGTGTGCATCTGCCATGTTTTGGTTTGATTTTTACTTTTCAGGTTTAGTCTTCACCATCTGTATTAGCAAGGCTTGTGCTCTTGATGACTTATAACCTTTTATTCCTCTGTGGTGCAATTATTGGCATTATTTAAAAAACCACCCTATTTGCATTGTCTCATTTTGTATGTCATTAATTTTCAATTGGGTTAGTGATAGCACTGATAATTTTAGAAGAAGATAACTACCTGATGTTTTATTACTTAACTTTTATTTTATAAAATTACTTTATATACTGTTTTTATTTGGTAATGGAAGAACTTGTGATTTCAAGCTTTTGCTACAGTAGTGAGGGGACACTTACTCTGCTCTATTAATTTTGGCAGTTTCTTGTGATGTTCATCTGTTAATAGGATCAAACACTATACTATTTCTTTGGGTGGTGTTGTATCCTCCTTTGGAAGAGCTGCAAAGGCAAAATAGTGCACTTAAAAGGGATCTGGGGAATAAAGAATTCTATTCACGATGGTTTGCTCATCTAACTTTAATACCAAGTATATAATTTGGATGGGATTGGAAATGTGTTTTTAATCTTATGAAAAAGTAAAACTCAGTTTTAAAATAGTTGTTGTACTCTGTGAGACTTCTGTTAGTGGCTGAATTTTGTGGTTGTACTCAGCAGTGTTTCTGCTGGATTTTTTGTATTTGGGAGATACTTTTGGTAAGTCAGCAAAGTAGGAAAGAGAAAGGCTGCTTGCTGAGAGCTTATAACTGAATCACCTGGGTGGTTAGCTCTTAATGACTTGCTTCTTTTTCTTTTGCCCCCTACTTTTTTTTTTTTGTCTTTAGGTTGTGGATCTGTTCTAAATGAAAAAGGTGAAGTAGAAATGGATGCCATTATCATGGATGGAAAAAATTTAGACTCTGGAGCAGTGTCTGCAGTTAAGTGCATAGCAAACCCAATAAAACTTGCTCGACTTGTTATGGAAAAGGTATGCTGATTATCTACTTGGTATGAAGCATTTTCTTTTCCTTTGAAAGAACTTCAGCCAGTATATTGATACACCTCAGTGATGGTGTTTGTGTAGTGCTTTAAAGCAGCAAGGAAGGGAAAAATGGATTGGAGTGTTTGGAAACACTGTGGTCATGACCATGAAGCACTTACCTTAAGGGGTTTTGAGAAATATTTATAAACAATAGCATTCTAAGGAAACATAACTTGACCTATACATTTTGGTCTCCTGTAGTTCCACTGCTGGTATTCAAGGGTTTTTTTTGTTGTTTTTCACTTGTTTTTTGAAGAGCTTTTATGTTGTCACTGAGTGTTGTGCTTGATCTTGCAAGATTAAAGTTAGGTAATACACTGTTCACTTTGGAACTGAGCTCATGGAAATGAATGTTCATGGAACTGAAATAAATGACCCAGTTACATATTTGGCTATGTAATGCACTCCTTTGTTGTTCTGGGTAGCCTTCTCCACTGTGACCTGATCAGGTGGTAGCACCAGTCCAGTTGTAATCTTCCACCAGTAGAAGATAAATTAGCTCTATGTGGTGCTGACAGGTTTTTTCCAAGATAATCAAATTTATTATGGCAGTAAAATATTACTTGACCTTCTATATAAGATCAGTCCCACCTTACTCCACTAGGAAGTCCATCTAATATTTGCTACAGCAGACTTTTCTTATTTTTCAGATATGGTGCAACTGATCTGTGTGATATCTGTGCCTGTTTTACTATTACAAGGTTGTGACAGTGATCAAAAAGTTTGTTCTGTCTTTGAAGTTTATATCTTCATTCTACCTAGTGCAACTGTCCCATTTTTGGAAAGGTTCATATTTATAAAAACACTTATTAATAAAGAAGACTTATGTTTCTTTAACCTTTCAAAGTTGCTTTTGAGGGAACAAAACCTGTTTTGGTGATCTGTAAAGATGATTGACATTTGTCTTGTCCTCAATGGCCTCCAAAGCAGAAAGGATTTTTTTGTGTCCTTAATGGAAAGATAGTTCTGCTTTTAAGATCAGAACATTCACTAGCATATTCAATATAAATACTTCAGTGAAATGTATGTCTACCAGAAAGCAATGTTAAAACTTGTGATGAGTAAGGCTTTTTCCTTCATACAGAATGTTTTTGTTATTAACTAGATCAGTAAATGAGTATAGGTGGTAGACAGCTTCACAAGACAAAATTCGAGAATATAGATGAAGGTTTGGGGGAGAGATGTCTCTAGCATGTTAAGGTGAATGTTGCATTTTATTTTATTTTCTTCTGTAGAGAACTTATTTTAATGCCTCTTGTTTACTTCTTATTCCAGAATCACTGATTTATTTCTTTGTTGTCTTGTCTATGAAAAAAATCCTATTTTAGTCAACAAGAAAAAGGTCAAAGTGACACTGTTGAATTTTGAGAATATAACTTTGCAATGTGTGTTTTAAAAATAAAACAGAAAACCCCAAACCAACAAAGAGAAAGCCCTCTCCTCTGTCTTGTCTATTACAAAGTCTTTCTTGTCATTGCATTGTGCTTCTGGTGTTCAAAAGTGTTGAGGCTAAATTTGAAATGAAATCATACAATTCCACTGTACAGGACCAATATAATGGTGCAGCCCTGACACCATGACATTTTGTGGTACAGGTGTTATCTTTGCCAAGATGCAAAAAAATGTCTGTGCATGATGATAAATTCCAAATGTAAATGTTGGCCTAAATTGCTTGATGTGTCCTGAGATGAGTTTCTCTGCTTCTCCATCTCCCATACATGGGAATACCAACTGATGTTGCTCTTCTGCTCGTTGTTGCCCCTCTGTTCATCTTGGACAGCAATTTTGGGACACCAACTCAGGGTATTTCACAGTACATTTCATAGTGTGTTTTGTTGTACTATGCTTGATTAAAAAGCATTTTTAACTGTGAGACTTGGGGGTAATAAGGGTAGTTTTCCTGGGGTCTTAAGTCTGTGTGCATAATTCCCAGTGGTTTTTGAATGCCTCAGTACCATAAAGAATTTTGAAACATGCGGCTCCCGAAAACAAACAAACCAACCAAAACCATCCTGCACGTCTGCTTGTAATTGTATTTCCATCCTATTCTGGAACAGTGTGGGCTCCATCTGGTGGCCAGAGTAGCTCCTCTAGGTTGTTGTTGCAACATTGTCCTTTTTGGCTGTCACTTTCCCACTGGGCTCAAACTTGTCCAAATTCATGAAGTAGAAAAAAGGAGAGCAGCAGAATAATTGGCATTCATTATTTACTGTACTTTTGGTCACAGGAGCTTCTAGAGGTGGAAGACTTTTAGTGCATTTACAAATGTAACACATTCTTGAAAAAGCACTTAAATTTCTGTTAGATTATTCCTGTTTGTATTGAACATAAATAGAATGATACATTGATTTTTTTTTTTAATTTGGGGCATGTAATCCTTCTCAGCTCCAAAACTTCATTAGGTGGGCTTCTCATGAAAATTAGAGCACTAATTCATTGGTGTATTAAGCTGTGTACGTTTTCCCCTACTCTTATTGTGCAGGACTTTACATTAGGCAAAGGACAATTTAGCTTAGAACACAGACTTCTTCAGGCAAAGGGCCAGGTTTTTTTCTGTGCTTCCAGAATTGTTAAATGAAAACTTTGATGGTCTGAACTTAAGGCCCAGCAGAAATTTGGGGTATTTTCCCCATTTCCAGTGAAATTAGCTAAAAGTTTCAGCTTTTGTTGCTTATTTGTAAGATTTCTTGAACCCTTTTCTTGTCCTTTTTGATTACTTTATATAAAGTGCGTACTTTTTATAGAAGACATTTACATAAGCAAACATATTAATGAAACTAGAAGAATGAGACAGAAAAATGTGCTTTTGCATTGTTTGACAGTGTTCTACTAGTTCTTTTGATTGACAACATCTGTTGAAGAGAGTGATAAAAATCACCTTAAGACATCTTCTTTTCAGTGAGGACTGAAAAAGAAGGAAAAAAGGAAACCCAAAGTCCTATCGTAGAAGTTTATTTATCAATATGCAAGTATTTCTTGCTTGTGTACCCTAGGAAGGTGCATATATTATGCAAATTTGCATATGAGAGGGATGGAATCCTATGAAAAAGTTATTAGAAATAACTTCCATTTTTTATAATAAAACTTCATCTTTTTAAGACTTATTTAAAGGATGCTATAGTCTTAGTTGCTGAAGAAGGCAAGGGATGGAGGACACAGCCTTCTGGTACAGCTCAAGGCTAAAGCAAATTTCAGATTTCCTACAAAAACCCACCAAACAACAAAAAAAAACCCAACCCACACCCACAAATAAAAACCAAACCTATTTTGAATGTAATATTGTGTGCTTCTCGTGGGTTAGTGGTAGTGGCAGAGGGGGGCAGTATTGCACAAAGAAGTTGGCTTTCAAGTCGAAGAACACTGCTCATTAGTTTTGTCAGAAATAGGTTGGTCTTACATGGTCTGGTAATATGGTGACAGCACTCAGCATGCAAGCCCCATGTCTGCTTTCACATAGACAGGGGACTTCTTGTCACCTTTAGTATTCCCTGAAGCAATGCTCTCCTGAATTAAAGATTAATTAAAAGGCATGTCAGTTTTCAAAAATGTTTGATGTTGGGGCTGCAACATCAGAAATGTTTCTAAAGTGTTGTCCTCTGTCCCTGTCCAAAGGGCTTAATGCAGAGGCTGTAATAGGCTTAAGCAGAGATCAATGTCTCTGACTTGGGAAGAGGTTTCTCTGGAATCCCTTAAAACAATGCAATGCTATGTGTTGGTCATGGTAGTGATTACTTGTCATTGCTTTGGAAATCAACAGCAGGTGATGGCCTGCAACATCTTACCCCGAGGCTTTGAGACTGTAAATGCCCTCCAGAATGTAGCATGGTACAGAAATACCCAACCTCTGCTGTCCTTACTTCTGGCTGAGGGCTGGCTGTGCCATGTGGGTGCGTGGCAAGGCTCTGCAGGGCCGCTGCCTCCAGCATCATGGCTCTGCTGAGCTCTGCTGCTGCAGGGACAGAAAGGCTGGCTGTAAGTTAGGTGCTCTGCTCTGAAATTGTTCTGTGCTCTAAAACCTTCCCAGGTTCTGATGAGCAATTGACAGCTATGTAACTGTGCAAGAAACTGCTTACTTTTTGTCACATTAAAACAAAAAAAAAATCAGATTTCAGTGCTCAGAGCTACTACTAAAGTATAAGGATTAATTAAACAAATTTATCTGGCAAACTTCTCTAAAATATGAACTAACTGAGCTCTACAGACTTTAAAGCATGGAATTAACTAAGGTTGTTGAATTAAACTCTGGTTTGGAGTGCTTTGTAAATATAGAAATCAAAATAGAACTTTCAGGTATTGTTAGAAGAGTAAACATTTCTTGGTCAAACCCATTAGAAAGTTTTCTGTTCTTAAATTTGATCCACTGAGTTAATAAGAATAGCAGCCTGTTGAAGGAAATGTTTAAAATGAAGTTGAAGGAACATTTTAGTCGTATGCTATTTACATTTGTAAGTTATTTTACTAGGTGTAATGCCTTTAAACAGGAATTTATTTAGCATTCTTTTGAATAAAAGCCTTCTAAATCTCTTAGTTAACTGGACAAAACAGTTAGCTATGTAGTAATTTGGTGATTCATTTGAAACGTTACAAAACAGTTAGCTAAAGAACAAATTTACCAATTTTCCCTCTCCCATTATAGTGCATGTTAAATAGATAAGTCCAATTCTTTTCTGTTGATGGTTAAACTTTGTGGTCTGGAGAACTGAAAGCTTCTTCAGCTATAGTGGAAGGGGATGTGGACAGAAGTTTAGAAATTTTTAAAATAAAATTTGTAATTTTCATTTTGTGGATACTTCTAAAGATAGCTGTTATACAGAGCTGCTAAGTACAAGACAAAAATAAGAATTGTCAATGAATCTCTTGTCCTTCTGCAGACAAAGCACATGCTGCTGACTGACCATGGTGCACACCTGTTTGCTCAGGCCATGGGTATTCCTGAAATTCCAGGGGAGAAACTCATAACTGAGAGATCCCGGGAGAGATGGAAGAAGAACCTTGAGCCGGATTCCAACCCCGAAGAGTTTCAGAAGTAGGTTAAATATATTTTATTTTCAAATTTGGGTAATTTACTTTGGGCTATCTGGTTACAAAAAAACTGAAAAGAAACCAAAAACCCCCGAACGAACAAAGCAACCAAGAAAAACAAAACCCCAAACAAATAAACACAAACCTCAAAGGCCTGTATTCCAAATGTTATGTGGCTTGATACAGTCTTTACAGTGTGTCTTTCTTGAAAGCAGTAGAAAATCAAGCTTTCCTTGAATTTGCTTAAACTTAAATGACTGGAACAAACTTGATGAAACTTGTTGCTGCTTAAGAAGATTATTGGTCACTTGGACAATAGGTTTTGTGGCTTTATTGGAGAGCAAAGTTAGAACTTGTTACTGCTCTTAAAATCATCATTTACGGAAGTGCCTAGAGCAGCTTTAACAAGCAGCAGATATTGTTTTGTGTAGCTTTTTCTGTGGAGGAACTGGTTTTAAAAAATCAGTGCACTTAGCGATGTGGCTAAGTACTAAGTAGATGATCAGGTTTGTTTTTAAATTGTATTACATAGTTAAACAACATCAGAGTTTGACCAGCAATTCCTTCTGAGTGGTAATTGTGGCTGTTGGTTATAAAAAGGAATAAAAAAATTGACCAAGTTTAGTGGTGGGTGGGAAGAGAGATGCTGCTGGATGCCCAACAGCAAAGTGAACGTCATTTGGAAAACAAGCCAGTCTCATAAAGTAGAGGGGAAGGTGAGGGGACAGTAAAGGAATGAAAAACATCAAGTGTCAAAAATGATTTCTATGCCTCTGAGGTAGGCATAGTCACTTAATTGTTTTGAGCTTCCATTTGTACATCCATGGTTGTGGTACAGGAAAACACTATATTACATTACATAAATGCTGTATTATGTGCTGTTCATCTGTTTTGTGAAACAGGAGTAATGGCAGGAGCAGAGCTGAATCTGTAGGTTTGAAGGAGGAAATTTCTTCTGTGAGCATGTTAATTAAAATCCATAAAATTATAAATTACAACCTGTATGTTACTTTCAGTAAATTGCTGGAAGGGAGAACAAAGTAATAAGACAAGCATTAATATGGTCTTGTAAACAAAATGATGTTTTTCCTTGACCATAAGGTCTTGGTCATAGTTTGTTTTGTATCCAACAGAAGTTTTCTTTTGATCCATGGTTTGTCCAAGGACTGTGTGCTATTGTCATTGATTGTGAAGAATTTTGAGGATGGTGTAACCACCACTGTCTCTTGTTCTCTTGAACATAGCAGTTAGAATAGCATGGCATTTAAGTCTTCATTCGTTCCTCATAACTGCTTCATTTTTATCGTTGTTTTTGTTTGGGTTTTTGTTTGTTTGGTTGGTTTTTGGTTTTTGTTTTGGTTTTTTTTTTCCCTGAAAACAGTGTTAAGCATCTTCAGTTCCAGCATGGACTTCTTCTGGGATATCTGATAGTAAAAAGCTTATGTATTTCTGAAAGGCTGAAGACTTTTTCTTGTCTTGGCCATGCTGTTCTTTTTCTGAAAACCAAAACATCAGCACAAATTCACAAAGTTGAAAACAGGTCTTTTTTAATGCAAACCTATTTCATTCTGTATCACACGTGGAATGTTCTTTTTCCCTGTTATGTCCACAGTGATTATGCAGAAACTTGCCTGGGGCGAACAGACAGAAGGTGAAGTAGTATTAGTCAGAGGCAACATAATACCAGATCATACTGGGAATTTGAAGGTTGGTGTATATTTTACTTCCAGTCCCTTGATCCTCACAGTGTTGGAAACCCTGTGGTTTCGTAGGCTTTGCAGGTAAAGTCTGGTGTCTCCGTAAGAGATACCTTTCTCCTCTGGTGGTTAGAAGCTTGCATTGATTTGTGCTGAAAGCTTAGGATTCCACGGTGTGTGGAACATTCCATCTTGCACACCTTTTGCCAAGAAGAAGGTGTGATTTGCTTTATCTGCACACTGCAAAGACTCGAGCAATACCCTTGTTAAGAATTACTGGAGTTTGCCTGAGAATCCCACAGAAAGGGTGTTGAGTCTGACTGTAAGGTAGTAAATGGGCTCCTAGCCCCACTGTGAATCACACTGCTAGAGTCACTTGAGGAGGTATTAACTAACAAGGACCCTCAAAACAATAAACAGAAAACCCCACTCTGATGCAGGGCTGAGAGACGAAATAGCAGGTAACTCGTTAATTAAACAGGGATAGTGTAAATACATGTCACTTCATGGGTATTGGATCATGAAAGATTTAGACAAAAGGAAATTAACAAATCCAAATAATACATTCTGTTTCACAGTTTATGCAGTATATAGGAATAATTCCTGATTGAAAAAAGTCCCTAATAGCATTTCTGGTACACCACAGGTATTTGCTGAGGTTCTTGCTACTGTTAATGACTAAAAATAGAGAGATGGTTATAATTTGATAGCAGTTTTGTCTTTGTTAATGTTTTGGAGTCAACTAGCTGTGCAAAAAATTTTTTATTGGTATCTTCTTTGTTCTGAAGATAATCAAAGGAAAAGTTACACTACAGCAGTAAAAAAGGGACTGTGAGAAATCAAGTGTAGTTGTCTATTTGCTCACCTGCAGATGAGGTGTGTTTGACACATTCACTTCGTTATTTATTGCCAGTTGTGCTCTCATGCCAAAACAGGTAATTACTGCTTGTGTCACCTGTGTGCTTTTATTTTCACAGTTGCTTAAGGTAAATACTTATCTAAGAAAATATACCTCTGGATACATCTTTCTTAGTTTCTCAGGAGGATCTAACTTTAGTTGGTTGAAGGGTGCTACATGAATGTGCAAGGGAGTACTGAATTTACTAATGTTCTTTTCAGCAATTCACTTCTAACAGATGGATGGGTGGGAAGCCCATCTGCACCATCATATCAGTTTGAGATGAGGTCCGTCTCTACATAAATGTCAGAGCAGCCTATAAGGCCTGTGATTCATCAGTCAACTTGGAATTGCTGTGAATGAAGTGTAGGGACTGACAGTATGATATTTTACATAAGCAGGAGGGAACAGGAAGTTGGGTCTCTGAGAAACTGACTGTGGGTTTCAAAGTACACAAAGACTTTGTCTGACTTAATTAGCTCAGGTTTTGCACAGCTGTAGAGAAACCCTCACCAGTGCCCAGGCAAATTCGAAAGGTATTCCTTTTCCAGTTGCTTGTTGGGTAGTTCCTTGAAGGATTGTTACAAATTATTTTCCTGTGTGGAGGAATTTAGATAATTTTTGGGGTTTGGTGTACTTCTCCTAGTCACATACTGGTTTATATTCCTACGAGAATTGCTAGGACTGGAATAAATGGGTATTTAAACTGTTGCTTCTCAGTTATGTCTCACTTCTCAGTGCAGCAACTCTTACAATAAGTCACTACAGACTTTTTTTTTTCCATACACAACTACACGTGTCTATTTTTAGCAGGCTATTGTATATGTCTTTTCTGTGTTGAAGAAATAAAGATATAGTTGAGACTTCTGTTTTCTTCTGCCTGAAGATTTTTAAACCAATGTGCAGTTTCAGCAGAGTCTACTGGCCAAGTGATTTAAACCTCAAGATTATGTAGCTGCAGAGTACAAAGACTAAAGTATGTCTTAATGATGCATTGTGAGCAATACTAGTTGAAAGGAAAATAAATAAGCTTTTTCTTTTTTTTTATAGCATTCAAACATTAAAGGGAGTAAGGAAAAGGAAAGAGGAGGAACAGGAAGGAAATGATTCAGTGCATGCATAACATTACTGTCCTTTTCTGTATTCACTCATTTACGCGCATTGTCATTAATAATTCCGGTTAACCTCCTGTTGAAACAGTGGAGCCAATTGTTGCATCTTCGAGTTGCCATTTAGGGGAAAGTTGTGTGTCAGTTTGTGTGTCAGCCAAAAAACTACTCCAGAACTATAATGACTAGAAGTATTTCTGCCTTGTGTGCTTTTGTTTTGTGGGTTTTTTTCCTCCCCAAGTTTCCATGCTATGAAAGTAAACAAGTCATGGGGGGAAGATTAAAAAAAAAAAAAAGAGTTTTCTACTCTATTAAGTACAAAGCTTATGAGAATTATTGCATGTTTCTTGTTATTTTTGTAATGAAAAGCATGGCAAAAATAGCTTCATGATGAGTAGTAATTCTGTTGTAGAAATCTTCTTTAAAGGTACCTGGGAAATAAAGGCAACGTGCTTTGGCAGGTATGCTTTAATTCTGTCTCATTTTATGAACTGTTTTTCTTGGCAGAGACCTTGGAACAGTCGGTGCTGTTGCTATAGACAGTGAAGGCAATGTAGCTTGTGCAACATCCACGGGAGGACTCTCTAATAAAATGATTGGCCGTGTTGGTGACACAGCATGCATAGGTATGGGGTGTAGGATCTTGCCTTCCACTTTTTGGGGGCATCTCATTTAAACAAAGAAAAAAAAGTATTGTAATTCTCCTTTTCATTAGTGAAACAAAGCATAAATACTAGTCCATCTGAAATGAAGGTCTAACATTCACATCTATCAAAGCTAAAGCTCCTTACAGCTTGGAGATATGCAAGAAAGAATTGGAAAATGGGGATGGGAGTTTGTTTTTTCTATTGTTTCTTCAATGCTAACACCTGTGTTTCCTTTCTGTTAATTCTGATCAAGCTCTCCTTTTTTATGGCTCTGCTTTCCACTAAGTCAAAAACTGTAGCCTGTTCCATATTACCACGCTGTTTCCTCAATGCTTAAGGGAGTAGGTGTAATTGCAATTACTACTTGTTGTATCAGTGAGCAAGAATTACAAAGTGACTCACAAATTTAAGTAAATTCCTGTTCTTAAGAGAGCCCTGATAAGACTGTTTCAGAACCTAATAGATGTGGTGTGGAATAAAGGAAATATTTTAAGAGATTTCTTATCCAAGTATAAAGAGACACTTGAAATCCTTTCTGCAGACTTGCCAGTTGATTGCTTCAGGGTTCTACCATACAGCTGGGATTTGGAAAACAATTATTTTTAGTAAAACATGTTCCAAACTCAAATAGCATTGCTGTTGGCAGTATATGATTATTATAAAGCTGTCTTTCTTTTGCATACAAAGTTACTGACATTTTGGTAGCCTCTGGATTTTGACTATGGTTTTCAGTTTTGTGTCTGGCTGCAGCCTTCTGACTGCAAATACCCTCCTCCTGTGTAGATTATGTTCAGGGTTGTTATAGTTGGGGACATGGGTTTGTGAAGGAGAAGTGAAACTGGGCACTTTTGAGCATATTGCAACTTTTGATCTTGCTAGGCATCTTCAGAATTTGATACAGAAATGTCAGCTGTGCTTTTAAACATCAGAGGCTTTGGTAAGGCGGCATTGACTTAATATGGCAGTGTTTTTCCACATGTTACTCAGAGTCCATTAAAAGGGTCTGATCAAGAAAGCACAGAAGGGAAGAAACTTTCATTGCTCTTCTAAGGCCTCTTTCCCCTCCCCCAGTACCTTGTTTATAAAGCTGTGGTATGTTTCTTCTTAGCTCCTGGGAAATATTTTTCTTAGGAGATGTGCTAGAAATATGGGTATTGAGCAAGCAGAAGCTTGGTAGAGAACAGGGTGTGGAATGGGCCAGCAAAACAAGGATGGGAGAAAAAAAAAGGGAGGGAAGAGGGGTTCAACAGAAGAAACACTCTGCTTGTGGTCACGACTTTGAAGATTCTTCAGGGGTGCTTTGAAATTCTACTAGAGCCCATGCTCTTCAAATCTCTTACATGCTGTGGAGGGTAAGTTCCTCTCAAACTGGTCAGCTCACAAATGTCCTCACTAGATCTTCCTTCATATCTTCTCAATTGATGTGACCTGGCATTATGCATCCTGTCCCTATCTTGCTGATCTTCAGTATACCCCCCCTTGCTGTTCTGGAAAATATTTTTGCCCATTCCTGTGGAGTGTTGGCCTGCTTCTGCCTCTTGTACACAAACAGATCACTAGTCTTCTCTCTCAGCTTGGCAACTGACTTGCTCCAACTGTTGTTCATCTCTTTAATGTATTTTACTTTTCATATTGTGGCAGAAATAAGAAGGAAGCTTTTCTGACACTTTGCTTTCAGAAACACATGGAGCTAATGGACCTAAAGAAAGAAATGTTTGGTACCTATTTTAAACAATGCAGGGCTTTTAATTCATATTACAGAATATTGCCTTTTTTTTTTTCGCTTTGAAAAGGAAGTGGAGGTTATGCTGACAACCATTCTGGTGCCACTTCAACCACAGGACATGGGGAGAGCATTATGAAAGTGGTCTTAGCCCGGCTGATTCTCTATCACATGGAGCAAGGTATATTCCAAACTTTCTGTAATCTGAAGTAAGGAGGATAGGAAGCATTGCCTAATCACAGATTTCAGTGTATGTACTATCATCCTAAAACAGCTGTCAGGAGAGTTGCTCTAAGGGGTGTGTGGATGGGTTAAAACAAAAACTTTAGAAACAAAACAAAGTATTAAATTATTAATAAGGCTAAAATAGCTGAAGTAAACAGAATTATCTCTGCTGCCTGATGCTGAATCATGCTTTAGATCAGTGTACATTGAAAGACATTACTGTATACTTAAACAGAAATTCTCTTTAATAATTTTTCCCCAATTATAAACTAAAATTCTGTGAACAAGAAAAAGAAAACAAGTAAAAGATACATTTAAGGGAGCAGTTAGGGAGGGCTAGAAACAGATAACTAGAGCTAAAATAGAAAGTACAATGTATTGCCTTTCTAATAAACTGTAAAGGTCATTATTGTAACAACTCTGATTACAGCAACAGAAATTATTTTAGGACTTTTTAACCATGATTTCAATTTACATTTTGTTTTGGAAAATGTACTAAACATACTGGTGGGTATGTGGTAAACAGCTGACACAGTATGTCTTATGTGACTGTAATACAATCTGACTGTGGGATGACCCTTTGTAGCTTTACCTTCATGACTTAGTCTGTCATCTAAACCCTTGATTATGTTACAGCCCGTAAACATAGCCAGACAACACACTTGTGTTGCATGCAGTTAAAGAATCATTAATATAGATATCACCATTATTTTTAGAAATAAAATAGTTTTGGAGCAGTACAGCATAACTTGCTTTGAGATCAACCAAAGTGGAAATAGTTGGAAAACACTCAATTTACATTTTCATTGGAGAAGCAGTAAGAAGAGAGACAAGTAACAGCTGTGAATATTTTTGTTGTGCTTTATAGGGCTGTTTGCATATAATGGGTGCATTCCTCTAAATCTCATAGCTGACATGACAGTTTCAGCATAAAATTCAACCTACAGATTATTTCCCAAAGCTCTTAACACATTATGCTCTCCCTTTACTCTCTAAATTAAGTCTCTAAGTATTCAATTTGTAAACAGCTTTCTAAGCTCTTGTCTAAACTGTATAAACCAGTTTCTTCTCTGGCTTAAAGTTAACTGCATTGCAAGACTTATGCATTGATAGCAGTTATCTGGCTTGTGATTAATCAATTTGAAAGGCAAATGAGGCTCAAATTAAAAAGTTTATTGGAAAAAAAGAAAATTAACCCACATGTATTCATGTCTAGTTTGTTTGCACTTGTTCACCCTGTCCATGCTTGCTTTCCCTTCATTCATCCTGCCCAGAAGTATAACTCAGCTGCCAGGCAAACACGTCAGCAATTAGATTCCCCCCAGCCCCTCCTCCCAACATATTTCCATGAAGGCACTGAAAACAAACCCTTAAGTTGGTGTGGCTTTTTGAGTCCTTGAATAGTGAGCTGAAGTTGCATGTGTAAGAACAACTGCAGAGCCCTCAAAATTCTGTTCAGCTAATTGGTAATTCACATACTAAATATTCTCTTTTGGACAAATGCTGCAAAATTTACTTCTGTATTTCAGGAGTGAATTGCTTTGGCAGTCTTAACAGCTGTTGGAATTTCAGTCTTATGGTGGCAGCTGTTGTCTTGGTGAAAAATCAAACAGTGAAATACTGACCCTTTGAAGACAGTGCCACTGACTTGAATAGTCACAGTGTCACCTGTGCGTCAGAGTAAGGAGCTTTATCCTGTCAGTCACCAGTGCTGTGAATAATTCTGACTCTGCTGGTTTTATTTGGTTTTAACTCAAAATTTGCAGGGAAGGCATAGAGGTCAGGTTTTGTTCTATAACCTAGGCTGTGTAACATTACTGAGGGTCTATATCTTAGGGTAATTAGGCCAAGCCAACTGCATTCCTGAATGCATATTTAAACTTGTAGTGAACAAATATTTTGCAGCTATTACAGGCCTGTGTGTATGATGTACCTATTAAATTTCATTTATTTAGAAAATACTCCTGTTAATACAAATCAAGTAGAGAAAAGCTAAAGTTGCATTGCTGGTCCTGTGTCTGATGTCAGACCTCATTTTGCCTGGTGGTTTCAGAAGTTTCAGGAAGAGTCATGCTGATGTCTGCTTTTGATAAATTATGACAATGTGTAGTACGTGCCTTGAGCTCTGTTGCAGCCAGTGGAACTAGAACAGAGATGATGACTGAAATTTTCAACTGTTTTGATGTGTGTTTTTTCAAATTGTAAATGCTTTAGATCTAACTTGTCATAACCTTTGATGAAAACCTTGCAGATTGACTTTTTTTTCTAGTCAAATGATGGCATAAGAAGTGGTGCGTCTTGAACATAAAGTTTGGGAGTTAGTTTTTATTAAACAAATGAATAAATTCTGAAACAAACTAATTCTGAACTGAATCAAAATCAGAAGCTATGTAAATAAATACTTGGGGCAATACCACACCATAGCAGCTCTTCACAGCTGTCCAGAGCCTTTCCAAAAATGCTTCCTTTGTTAGAATGGAAATTTCTTGCCAATTTAGTTGAAAGAGAAGTTAGATTTGACTGGATCCATGGGGAGGGGTGAAATTTTAAGAAAATTTTAAAACTGTCAGGGCAGGTCCTATGAAGTGATTTTGTTTTTCTTTTCAGGAATGTCACCAGAGGTTGCAGCGGACACTGCATTAGACTACATGAAGACACGAGTTGGGGGTTTGGGGGGTGTCATTGTTGTCAACAAGGCAGGAGAGTGGGCAGCAAGGTTCTCCACCAAGCAAATGTCCTGGGCTACTGTAAAGGATGACAACCTGCATTATGGCATTTATGCTGGGGAGAAGCATATAAAGTCTGTTGATGAAGCTCTTGCATCTGAAAGGGAGGGATTCTAAGAGTGAAGAAATGAAGATCTCCAGTTTTTGCTGGAGGACAATGACAGTTGATGTTGTCTTTCTGAAAGATCTTTTGGTTCACAGGCATTACCACATTTACAGTCAAAACAAAATCTGGACATTGTTCTTTGGTGGACATGTATATATGTGTAGTCTTTTAATACCTTTGTGAAATCAGATACTCCTTTTTTAGATGAGAAAGAGAATGGTCTGTAGGTTCCTTGGTTAGCATGCTTTAATCTTACATTAAAGGGAGCCTGAGTTTCAGTATTAGAGAAACTCCTTTCCACATCCATTCTCAGAGACTCCTACCAGGATAATTTGAGAGAAAAATACCTATTAATTAAAAGCTGAATTTTGAAAATCCAGAGTCTTTTGAGCAGCTGTGTCATGGTACTAGCTTGCTAATGGTCAATGAAATACCACCAAAGAGCAGTGAAGAGTTGAGATTAAAATTGTTCCCACAGGTTTGAGGTAACTTGTCAGAGGATATAATGAAGTAAAGAAAGTGGCTTTCTCCAGAGAAGGGAATGGTGATGCTAAGGAGCTCTAATTCCATTTATGGACATCACAACCAAGTGGGCTAGAATGTTTCAAACTGTATGTGGATAGTTAACAGGAAAGATGCTATGGATTTAGTATCTGGGGTAGTAATACAGAAGGTCGTGCTTTTAATAAAAATAACAGCAATCTTTTCTACTCAAATGTAAAGGTGATAGGCATCTTTTAGGTCAAAATATGAGACAGAGATGCTGATTAACTGGAAAAATAATTATCTGAAAGTGATCAAAGCAAATTGTACTAAAATAAATAAAACTGCCTGTTAACAAGCTTCTTGTGTGAAGTCTGAAACATTGTCTGCAGAGATTTTCTTTTTTTAAAAAATTGACTCTTACTTCCACTACATTTTCTTCATTACGATTTTGTATTTTTAAAAGAAAAATTCCTTTTTTATTTTCTGACTCTCAGCCATGGTTTTTTTGTGTTAAGAGGTGTAATAATTTTATGCATTTCAGCTGGTGACTAGATTTTCTCTTACACACCATCATTCTGTGGAATGTTCCCTTCACAAGATAGCCCAAGTAACAGTAACAAAAATCTTAACTTGTGGTTTGAAACCACTCCTTCCTGGGTCCCAACTACAATAAGCTGTATTACTGAGTTGGCACATACTGAATAGTAGGGTTGCCAAGACTGTCTATGCTTGCTCTGTGCTTTTTGGTTTCTTGGCTGTTGCAGGTGATTGGATGCAGACAGCAGTGGTTCAAGAGAAGCAGATGCAAACCATGACCCTGGAGTACTTACGCACTTTTTATCAAGTACAACAGAAGATCATGCTGAAAATGGCTGCTGCCTGATCATCAGAAGTTCATAAAACAGTAACAGTAATTCTGATGTGCTCATTGGTAGAAAAAAGTAGCCTCCTATTGAGTAAAAATGAGATACCAATCCTACAGGGCCATGCTATTCTCTGGGGGTAAAAAAGGTAGCTTCCTTTCCAAATTACATCCAAAGTATTTGTCATCAGTAATCTGCTTTGTTTATCTCATCTGTCCCTACTGGAAGATAAAATAGAAGAATAACCTCTATGAGTTCAGTCAAAATTCACTTTGCAGCATTATTTTCATGAAATTGCTCAATGGGGTTTTTTAATTAAAAATAATCCAACCCGAAGTATGTTTTGTAGAGCTAAATGGTGATGCATATAGGCATGGAGGTAGGCTGCACACAAGAATACAAATATCTTGTCATGTATACTGGCTTTGTCAGATGAAAGAGTGCATGGAAGGCACAATCCTTATAACCTTTCCTTTGCTTAAAGTGCGTGCAGGGAGGTGTGTTTACCCTCCAGTACTGCTCTAACACCTGGTGTACCTTCTTTGTAAAGCTCTTTGTGTGTTAACAGTTTTTGTTCTGGTCAGGCTCCAAGCTGACCAAAACCCAAGTGATGGTTAGTGTAGCAGCAAGCATAAGCTGATACACCTGCTGGGACGTTGATTGGCAAGGACTTGGTGCTCTGCTAACCTGCCAGTTGGCTTTGGGTTAGCTTTGAACAAGTTCACGTTGACCCAAAAGGCACCAGTAACCTCAGCAGCACTACACACAGGATCTCAGGGATGTCAGAAGGAATAGTAAATGGCTACTAATTCACCTCAGCTGTTCTCAGGAATACCATGCAATAAATTGCTGGCACTTGACAAAGTCATTATCCTCTATAGGTTCTTCTGTCACTCATAACTAGAGTCGCTGGGCACCTTCCAACAGTGCGTTGAGCACTGTGGCTGCCATCTGCTCTCTATGATTTCTTCTGCCTAACCTTCCCCTTGGTGCCATGCTCTATGTTTCCTATCAAAACTCTGACTTTCAAAAATATGCATGGCTGTTATGTTGCCTAAAAGCAAAAGACAAAAACTTGCAACTGATAAAAAGCAGATCTTTAATGAAAGCTTTCAGGTGCACAGAAATGGCTACGTGCATGTGTGATAAAGGATTGCTACAATTTGTTATAAGGTTAATTAATGAGTATATCTAGCAGGTACATCCAGTAGGAGATCAATTGCCCCAGTAACTGACCCTTAATCAGCCCCTTGGAGTTGGTACAGGGGTATTTGTTAGGTCTCTTAATTTCTGGTGGAGAACCAGATATTCTTGTTAGAAATTTCTTCCTAAGAATAAGACTAAACAGAATTTCAAGAATGTGTTAGAAAGAGCTAGGTTATTATTCTAAAATGTGAGAAACAGCAAGAAAAGTACTAGAAACCATATAGCAATAAATAAAAATGTAAAAAGCTATGAATATATGAAAAAGCTAAAAATCTTCAGCTATCAGTTATACCTTTCCAGTTCATGTGGGACTGGGAATGACTACCTGTGCCTTACATATGGATTGATGGCATTTGATAATCTTCAGGCTGTAGTTTGCTCCACAGTTCAAAGGATGTCAGCTCAGGCAAAGCACCAGTCCAGGCATTCAGGGCTATATGCTTCTCTTCCAGTAGTTCCGGTAGCTGACCGGCACTCAGTAAAGGTATGTGATTTCCTCACCTGATCTAGATAGCAGGTAGACCTCTTATAGGATAGTGTTCTTCTCCCTCATAAGGGGGAATGGCAGCAAATGTTCAGGGATGTGGTAGACCTATTTTCAAAGAAGCTTGAGAGCTGGGGATGGAAGTTTTCCTCTCTCTCTCTTGCTTTAGCCCTTTCGGTTATGTTCTTTAGCTAGAACAGAGTGAGACTTTGTTGCACATGATGTAAGAGGTTGCTGGTGTTGCTCGGGACTCCCTAATATTTTAATATGCTTACATGTTGTCTGACCTTTGTGAACATTGAGAAACCACCCTTTTTAAGGGCTGTAACATTTAGCAGCTTTTATAAATGTAGTTGCAAGATGTTGAACTTAGGGGGGATACCAACAGCAGGACAGGAAGCTGTGTGCCCCTGCTGTGCACTGCTGCTGGAAATGAGCCTCTAATCCAAATGGCTGTGACCTGGATATCAAAGAAAGAAAATTAGAGGTTTGTTGCCAAGAAACTGGGTGTCCTTGGCATCTAGCAAAGCAGAAACAGTTTTAATTATCTAATTAAAGTGGGGCATCCTGTTATTTTATATCATTTAGAAAGCCAGTTGTGGATGTTGTCCTGTTGCTTTCTTAGTACTCTGTAGAAAGGGTCTCTGACATGCACAGATAGCTGCGATGGGTCTACATATTAAAGCAAAGATGTTAACAAAAGCACCAGGGTGGTGACCACTGACTTCGTGCACATATTGTTAGTTCTGTGTAGGTTTTGCTTCATAATTTTTGCAAGTTGCAAGTAATCAAAACTTGCTCTGTAGGACACCAGCATTTTGTAACTTATTTTTTTTCAGTGCTCTACTTTGTCCTACATTTTAGTTCTTTGTCTCTGGGGTGGTTTTCACTGACTTTGAAATCTAACTTGGCAAAGTTTAATGGCACTCACTGTTGTGCTTGTTTCTCTTCTGGTCTGCTTTTCCTTTGATATGCTCTGATAAATATTTGCTGTGGGACAGATTTCAATCTCAGTTACGTCAGTGTAAATGAAAAGCAAAAAGCACGGTCACTGAAGTCTGTGATTATGCTAAAGGAAGTGAAATCAGACATGGGCTCTCCTGTCCAAAGTCAGTAGCTCTGTATTGAAACAGCCTTTGCTAATGAGGGAGAGAAGAGAGAGGACACAGAACCTGCTGTAGGGAGTCACTGCCTGGAACAGGACTCTGGTCTATAGAAGTTTCAGGGTAAAGATGGTGCCCAGGGAAATAGTTAAATATGCATATTGAGAAATAAATAAGTGTCAAATGATTCACATGAAAGAGTCTTAAGAGCGCGCAGGGTGAGCAAAGAGTCATTTTGTTTTAGATGTGTAAACCACAAAGGACAGGAATCTCATTTTCCTGTCCACCGCACTCCTTACACTTGGTTTACTGGGGGCATGCAGATACCCTGCAACCTCTGTATAATTGAGTTTTGCCAGACCTGGTCACATGTGCTATACCTTCAATTATTTTTTAAATTTACATTTTTTAAATTCTTGCCTTTTGGCCTTTAAAGTTCTTCTTGCTTGGAATGAGGCTGTTTTCGTGTGGTTCCTCCCTAACTTCTTTTCCGCTGAGGACAGGATGGGTTATGATGCGGTCTGCGTGGGCTTTAGCCCTCCAGCCCTGCACTTTTGACCCTTTCCTGCTAGGGCTTTACTACAACTTAAGCTATGTAAATGCACAGTAGCATGCAGCTTATTAAATACTCAGCCTCTTGCAGACTTAATGGCTCTGCCGGGTGCTGCCTGCTTAGCGGCATAGCAGGCTGTGTGCTTAGCAACCCGGCTGCCTGAGCGCATCGCCCCCATGCGCTGCCTTCCCCGCTGCCTCACCGCTGAACACTGCAAATATTCCCAGCTTTTGCTGGACAAAACCTTGCCTAGGTTTGGGTGTAACTACCACCTACCAGCCAAAGCCTGCGTGTTTGAATGGCATCATGAGGGCTGACTATGACAGGAGACAGAACCTAGGGTGTTGGAGGTGCTCAGCCCCCTTCTGCAAGTAGTAATGGCTGTAAAACAAATATATATGCCAGTAAATGTAGACCTGATTGTTTTAGCAGTTGCTTTTCCTTAGAAATGTCAAAATTTAAAAAACTTGTAGTTTCAAGTACAATTCATAAACCTGTTCATTTTGGATGTAAAAGTGCACCATTTGCTAGAACATGGGTGCTCTTGTCTTCTGTAGGTGGAACTAATTTCTTGCATGGAAGAGAGATACAGCCAGTACATCTCTTTATTCCTACATTACAGAAGGTAATTTGTGTCATTGGTTAGTTAATTTCTTTACTTGTTTCGTTGGTTTTATTTCTTAAAAGCTGAAGAAGGTATTGTTATCTTTTATTTAACCTCAGCTAACCATTCTGAGATCCTCAGACACAAGTATAGCTCAGCTAAGCCTCCAGTAAGATGATCACTCAGAAATTACTATACTGGGGCAAATGAGTAGCAGGTTTTCAAGTATTTTAACCCAGGAGAAATCACAACTATTTTCTAGTCTTAATGCCTAAATAAACAGGCCATAGGTCCTTCTCTCTGTTATTTCTGCATTAAGCAAATAACTTCTGTCAAGGTATGGTCTATTCTGGTATGGTCATACTGAAAATGAGGATGCTCTCTGGGAGAAAACATCTGAAAAAGCAGGGGGGGAGAGATGGTATCATGCCAGATGCCATTGTACCTTCTGGGCTGCCACCAGGCCAGGCTTCAAGCTTCTATGGGGCAAGGACATCTGCTAGAAAGCAGACCTGAATTTTCAAATCCAAAGATACTTGGTATT